TTTTTGCTTACTGTTTGTTTTATGTATTCTATATTCCATTCTTTTACTCATTTTTTGTCATTGTGGTTTTGTAGATGAATATCTGTAGTAGTATCATTTGAGTACTTCCTCTTTTTTACCATTGTTTTACACTTTGTTGTGTTTTCACCATGATAAGCATCATCATTTCACTTCCAGGTATAGAACTCCTTTGAGCATTTGTAGGGCCAGTCTAGCGGTGTTGAATTCCCTCAGCTTTTGCTTGTCTAGGAGCAACTTTATTTCTCCTCCATTTAGGAAGGATTATTTTTCTGGATATAGTATTCTTGGCTAACAGGGTTTTTGCCTCAGCACTTTAAATGTATCATCTTCATCTCTTCTGGTCTATAAGGTTTCTGCTGACATATCTTCCATTAGTATGATGTGATTTCCTTTAGAGGTGACTAAATTCTTTCTGTTTTTAGAATTTTCTTTGTCATTGACTTTAGACATTTTGACTATAATGTGCTGTGCAGAATTTGTGCATTGTATCTGTTTAGGGATTGCTGGGTCTCCTGTATCTGGATGTCTAAACCTCCTACTGGATGTGGAAAGTTTTTATCTATTATTTTTATCTATTATTTTGTTATATATGTTTAACTATTTCAATATCTCTTTACCTTCTGGGATATCAATAATTTGTATATTTGATCACTTTATGGTGTTCCATATATCATGAAGGCTTTGCTTAGCTTTTTTTTTTTTTTTTTTAGACGGAATCTTGCTCTGTCGCCCAGGCTGGAGTGCAGTGGTGCGATCTCAATTCACTGCAAGCTCCACCTCCCAGGTTCACGCCATTCTTCTGCCTCAGCCTCTAGAGTAGCTGGGACTACAGGTGCCCGCCACCACACCTGGCTAATTTTTTGTATTTTCAGTAGAGACAGGGTTTCACCATGTTAGCCAGGATTGTCTCGATCTTCTGACCTCATGATCCTCCCGCCTCGCCCTCCCAAAGTGCTAGGATTACAGGCGTGAGCCACTGCACCAGGCCTGTTTAGCTTTTTTTAATTCTTTTTTTTTTCCTTTATATTTTCATGGCTGGCTTATTTCAAAAGTTGAACCTGAACTGTCTTCAGGTTCAGAGCTTCTTTCATCTGCTTGAGCTAATCTATTGTTGAAGCTTTCAAGTGTTTTATGTTGTTCATTCAATGAATTGTTCAGTTGCAGAATTTCTGTTTGATTCTTTTACAACATCTGTGTCTTTGGTAAACTCATTCATATTCTGAATTGTTTTTCAGATTTCTTTGTATTGTTTTTCAGAATTATCTTGTATCTCACTATCCTTCTTTAGAATCTGTAATTTGGATTATTTTTCTGGAATTTCATTAATTGCTTTTTGATTGAGATATGTTTCTGGAGAATTATCGTGTTTCTTTTTTTAAAAAGTTATTTAAATTTTTTTTCTTAAAGACCATTATTATAGTATATCTTCCTTTAAAAATGTCATCTTTTCTGGCTTTTTCATGTTTCCTGTGTTCTTATGTTAGTATATGTACATCTGATGTTTCAGTTGCTTCTTCCAATTTTAAAAAATTTGCTTTTGTAGGGGGAGAACGCTTCCTAAGGATGAATAGATAGTTTTGGTTGGGCAGGGTACTTTGACTTTTATTGTGGTTGCAGCAGTAGTATAATTACTTTGATTTCTTTGGCCATGACTAGCATAAGTGTCATCTGACATTTCCTCAGTGGCCTAGGGTACAGTTATTCTTGGGACTATGATGCAGCTTTGCTGGTGACTGGGATGCCAAGTAAGCCAGTCTTTGAGCCCCAGTGGTGTTAGCAATGGGCTGAGTATGCCCATCCTTGTGTCCCAGGGCAGCATACCCTGGCAGCAGTGTTAGGTCAAATCAGGTCAATTCTTGGGCCTCCAGGTGCCTTACTCAAATACTGGTAGTGGAAGCCATGGAACCAGCAGGTGAGTGATTTCTTGGGCTCTTGGGACACTTGTGTGGCATGCATGATGGCAATGGCAGTGACAGGATGACCCTCTGAGTCCTGAGTGGTGCTCACTAATGTTGGTTGTGCCAATGATAAGCTGGGCTTACTTCTCTTTTTTAATTGAAATTGTAATGTTTAATTAAGGAATTAAAATTTCTTAATTAAATTTAAAATTTTAGTAAAGAGGGATTTTTTGGGGTTTTTTTGTTTCTTTTTTAATTTTTTTATTATACTTTAAGTTCTAGGGTACATGTGCATAATGTGCAGGTTTGTTACATATGTACATGTATGCCATGTTGGTGTGCTGCACCCATTAACTCGTCATTTACATTAGGTATATCTCCTAATGCTATCCCTCCCCACTCCCCCTACCCCACAACAGGTCTCGGTGTGTGATGTTCCCCTTCCTGTGTCCAAGTGTTCTCATTGTTCAATTCCCACCTATGAGTGAAAACATGCGGTGTTTGGTTTTCTGTTCTTGTGACAGTTTGCTGAGAATGATGGTTTCCTGCTTCATCCATGTCCCTACAAAGGACATGAACTAATCCTTTTTTTATGGCTACATAGTATTCCATGGTGTGTATATATATATATATATATATATATATATATATATATATGCCACATATTCTTAATCCAGTCTGTCATTGGACATTTGGGTTGGTTCCAAGTCTTTGCTATAGTGAATAGTGCCACAATAAACATACGTGTGCATGTGTCTTTATAGCAGCATGATTTATAATCCTTTGGGTATATACCCAGTAATGGGATGGCTGGGTCAAATGGTATTTCTAGTTCTAGATTCTTGAGGAATCACCACACTGTCTTCCACAATGGTTGAACTAGTTTACAGTCCCACCAACAGTATAAAAGTGTTCCTATTTCTCCATATCCTCTCCAGCACTTGTTGTTTCCTGACTTTTTAATGATTGCCATTCTAACTGGTGTGAGATGGTATCTCATTGTGGTTTTGATTTGCATTTCTCTGATGGCTAGTGATGATGAGCATTTTTTCATGTGTCTGTTGGCTGCATAAATGTCTTGTTCTGAGAAGTGTGTTCATATCCTTGACCCACTTTTTGATGGGGTTGTTTGTTTTTTTCTTGTAAATTTGTTTTAGTTCTTTGTAGGTTCTGGATATTAACCCTTTGTCAGATGAGTAGATTGCAAAAATTTTCTCCCATTCTGTAAGTTGCCTGCCCACTCTGATGGTAGTTTCTTTTGCTGTTCAGAAGCTCTTTAGTTTAATTAGATGCCATTTGTCATTTTTGGCTTTTATTGCCATTACTTTTGGTGTTTTATACATGAAGTCTTTGCCCATGCCTGTGTCCTGAATTGTATTGCCTAGGTTTTCTTCTAGGGTTTTTATGGTATTAGGTCTAACATTTAAGTCTCTAATCCATCTTGAATTAACTTTTGTATAAGGTGTAAGGAAGGGATCCAGTTTCAGCTTTCTACTTATGGCTAGTCAGTTTTCCCAGCACCATTTATTAAATAGGGAATCCTTTCCCAATTTCTTATTTTTGTCAGGTTTGTCAAAGATCAGATGGTTGTATACGTGTGATATTATTTCTGAGGGCTCTGTTCTGTTCCGTTGGTCTATATATCTGTTTTGGTACCAGTACCATGCTGTTTTAGTTATTGTAGCCTTGTAGTATAGTTTGAAGTCAGGTAGCGTGATGCCTCCAGCTTTGTTCCTTTGGTTTAGGACTGTCTTGGCAATGTGGGCTCTTTTTTGGTTCCACATGAACTTTAAAGTAGTTTTTCCAATTCTGTGAAGAAAGTCATTGGTAGCTTAATGGGAATGGTATTGAATCTATAAATTACCTTGGGCAGTATGGCCATTTTCACGATATTGATTCTTCCTATCCATGAGCATGGAATGTTCTTCCATTTGTTTGTGTCCTCTTTTATTTCATTGAGCAGTGGTTTGTAGTTCTCCTTGAAGAGGTCCTTCATATGAAGAGGGATATTATTATTCAGAGTTTTGATATTACAGTTTCTTTTCAGTTCATTACATTTTGCTAAATTAAGCTATTTGAATATTACTATTTGTCATTGTAAACCATGGTTTGCAATGACAAATAGTAATATTCAAATACTTTAACTTATTAATATATTTTTATTATTACTTACTTTATTATTTTAGGGAGGGGAGAGGAGTATCTGGCCAAGGAGCAAGAAGTGCAAAGTTGGAATGTCCAAAGAATAGCAAAAAGTTTAATCTGGCTATATCAGTGAAGCAGAAGAAAACATAGCAAGAGATGCATTTGTAGAGATAGAACCATCTAAACATGGTTCACAATGGCAAATAGTAATATTCTAATAGTTTAATTATCAAAACTTAATTAACTAAAAAGAAACTAGAATATCAAACCCTGAACAATAATATCCCCCTTTATTCATTTGTAAAAAGTGTATTGAACCCTTATTATATATTAGGCACTATTTGTAATATTTTGTATACAGTGGTGGATGAAATAAACTTAACAGTAAATCAGTAATCAGACAACTCAGTGCTCTGAAATAATCACAGATCAAGATGTATAAAAAATATCCTCTGAATGTGGAAATAGCTATGCCTCAGAACTAAGCCTCAGTTAGGCTTTAACCAAAGCTGTCTAAATGTAATTCTTAAGAGTCTTATTTATCTGGTTTCCAATCCCACAGATTAGAATCAGAAACTAAAAGACAGGCTTATGAGTCTAGAAAGCAAGCATTTTGACAGCAATAAAATGCTGATCTCTAACAACAGAAAGGAACAAAAATCAAACATATCTTCATATTGATTTGTTCAAAATGATCAAAAAATCATCAAGAAAAGTTAATCCTGTAACATAGACTCCTTTTAAGAAACTGTGGGTTCTTATATTACCCTTTATAAATAGTTTCATGAAAAATTGTTTTTAAATAAAATTTAGATCCTTTAAGACGTAAGATTCACTAATCCAGAAATTTTTATGAGGAGATGTAGGCAAAATGAGATATGGGCATGTCCATAGAAGAGTTATGTTCTGATTTCAAAAAAACTTGTTTCCCAACAGCTTTGAAATATCAGTCTTTCTTCAAACTCTTGCCATGATACACAGCATTGAGATGATCAACAATTCAACACTATTATCTGGAGTCAAACTGGGGTATGAAATCTATGACACTTGTACAGAAGTCACAGTGGCAATGGCAGCCACTCTGAGGTTTCTTTCTAAATTCAACTGCTCCAAAGAAACTGTGGAGTTTAACTGTGACTATTCCAGCTACATGCCAAGAGTTAAGGCTGTCATAGGTTCTGGGTATTCAGAAATAACAATGGCTGTCTCCAGGATGTTGAATTTACAGCTCATGCCACAGGTAGGTTTTGTGCTACCTCCATACATTGATTTTGATCACATTTGTTATTATGAAAGGATCAGGGAAACCTGAGGAAACTAGTTAGGGAGTCACTTTTACTCTAACTTTCTTTCTCTTTAGTTAAAGAAAGGAGGCCGGGCGCGGTGGCTCACGCCTGTAATCCCAGCACTTTGGGAGGCCGAGACGGGCGGATCACGAGGTCAGGAGATCGAGACCATCCTGGCTAACACGGTGAAACCCCGTCTCTACTAAAAATACAAAATTAGCCAGGCGCGGTGGCGGGCGCCTGTAGTCCCAGCTACTCGGGAGGCTGAGGCAGGAGAATGGCGGGAACCCGGGAAGGCGGAGCTTGCAGTGAGTGGAGATCGCGCCACTGCACTCCAGTCTGGGCGACAGCGAGACTCCGTCTCAAAAAAAAATAATAATAATAATAAAAATAATAAGAAAGGATGCATACCATTACAGAGGGTATAGTGGAAAAGTACTAACGGAGTAATTACCCCTCAATCTATCAAGTCTAGTTTCTGACTGTTTTCAGCTTGATTTGTATAAGACACAAACATCTTTGGGCCTAAACTGCCTTGTTTCTAAAATAACATCAGTCACATGCTATGAAGAAACTAAAGAGACTCAGGAGTAAGGAGACAGAGAGGTCAAAAGAAGACTTCTTGAGGAAGTGACATTTAGTCTCAAGCTTGAGTGAGGAGTGTGAAGGGAGGATGAGGGAGGGGAGAAAGAGTATCTGAGAAAGTAGCAAGTGCAAAGTTGGAATGCCTGAAGAATAGCAAAAAGGCCAATCTGGCTAGATCAGTCGAAGCAAAAGGAAACATAGTAAGAGATGCTTATGTAGAGATAGGCAAAGCCTGGGTCATGTAGCATCTTGTAAGCCCTGGGACAGTTTGCATGTTGTTCTGAATATGATGGGAAGGCATTGAGCAAAGACTATAGAGCTATTTCTTTCCCTGGAATGCAAGCCAATAACCAGAAAGTAAGCAAAAAGTTCTCTGAAAAAAACAAATCAGATATCAGAGCACTGTGTACTAAGTTCTTGAACATTGCTCAGAGTCAATTAAGTCTCTTTAGCTTTCATTGTGAAATCACACTACTTTGTAACTCTCTACATCACTGATTTCTAATCTTAAGGAAGAAGAGAAGCCAAAAGTTAGAAAAGAAAAAGGTTTATATTCAGATTATTAAGAAATGACCATCTGACAGAAGTGAGCAGACAGAAAAAATATATATACATATATGTAACATAATGAAAATGTGTATAAGAATTCAAAATACATAACTTTTTGGAGGTAGAGTAAATAAATGCATATACATACAAAGACTATTAGAGTTCCATTATATTATAGTGACGTGGGTAATAAAAAAATGTAATACAAAATGATTAAACAAAAAGAACTATTTATCAAACACATCAAAGATAAGGCTTTGGCTTAAAAGTTCTAGACTATGTATGATACTAGTTAGGTGATAAGTAAGGAAAGCAGGCTTAACAACAACTGGCTAATGCAAAAATGCAATTTCTGTAATAGACAGCAGAAAAGGTAAGGGGACGTTCCATGGGTAACACTAATTTTAAGAAAGTTCAGCTCTTAATGTGGCTGAGCATAGCAACATCAGGTACTTGGAAGGTAACTTAGGTTTACTGAAAGTGTGCTCTTATCTATTTAAATTTTCTCCTTTAATCTTAGCAAGAATCTTATAACTTTACAGTAAAGAAACATTAAATAACATTCCCAAATTTATTTGAGTTGGGATTCTAACAGTTTATCTTGTTCCCAAGCCTATTGTCTTTCCACCACACCACATGGCAGCTGCAAGTAGGTAAAAAAAAAAAAAAAAGAAAAAAGAAAAGAAAAGAAAAAAAAAAGAAGGAAAGAAAGAAAAAAAAAAAAGAAATGCTGAACAAGTGACATGTTGCTATTGCATCTATAGAAGGTAATAATTCACCAAAGCTATGAATCAGGCAAAACTTTGTGTACATTAAGTAGGTCTTCCAAAAATGCTGATACTTATTTGACTAGATCAGGAGTCAGAAAACTACAGCCTGTGGACCAAATGTGGCTCTCATGCTCTTGAGCTTCCAAGCTAAAAATAGTTTTTACATTTCTAAAAGGTTTTAACAAAAAAAGAAAAAAGATATGACAGAGACTATACATGACCAAAAAAGCTTAAAATATTTTATATCTGGTTCTCTACAGGAAAATTTTGCTGATCCCTGGACAAGATGATTATTTGACTGATTGACTTTACCTAGAATAAAATCACCCAAATTATGCATTAGACAAGATTTTGAACACACTGATGTTCCAAACAGCATTTTGTTTATGTGATGGACTGCATTTTTCCTGTATTTACCTCTAAGTATTTGAATAATATCCACTCCTGGCCCCCTGCCAGCGATACAAGATAGATATAGAGGAATATAGAGGTGTAAATGGAAAATGAGATAGAGCCTGAATTCTCAGAAGGCCTGTACTAAACACAGTATGAAATAATTAGAAAGTCGTGATTCTAAACCATCATCGGGGCTAAGTATCATGATTTAAGCTGTTTGTAAAGTAGTAATTCATAGAAGAAGGATGAAAAAGGCTAGAGAATTTAAAGAAAGTCATGAAAACTTACAGCAATCAAAGAGAGGAACACCTACTGTGAACAGTCACCTGGAGTTCATCAACACCATAACTAAAATATTCTGTCTATTTCCAGGTGGGTTATGAATCAACTGCAGAAATCCTGAGTGACAAAATTCGCTTTCCTTCATTTTTACGGACTGTGCCCAGTGACTTCCATCAAATTAAAGCAATGGCTCACCTGATTCAGAAATCTGGTTGGAACTGGATTGGCATCATAACCACAGATGATGACTATGGACGATTGGCTCTTAACACTTTTATAATTCAGGCTGAAGCAAATAACGTGTGCATAGCCTTCAAAGAGGTTCTTCCAGCCTTTCTTTCAGATAATACCATTGAAGTCAGAATCAATCAGACACTGAAGAAAATCATTTTAGAAGCCCAGGTTAATGTCATTGTGGTATTTCTGAGGCAATTCCATGTTTTCGATCTCTTCAATAAAGCCATTGAAATGAATATAAATAAGATGTGGATTGCTAGTGATAATTGGTCAACTGCCACCAAGATTACCACCATTCCTAATGTTAAAAAGATTGGCAAAGTTGTGGGGTTTACCTTTAGAAGAGGGAATATATCCGCTTTCCATTCCTTTCTTCAAAATCTGCACTTGCTTCCCAGTGACAGTAACAAACTCTTATATGAATATGCCATGCATTTATCTGCCTGCACATATGTCAAGGACACTGATTTGAGTCAATGCATTTTCAATCATTCTCAAAGGACTTTGGCCTACAAGGCTAACAAGGCTATAGAAAGGAACTTCTTCATGAGAAATGACTTCCTCCGGGACTATGCTGAGCCAGGACTCATTCATAGTATTCAACTTGCAGTGTTTGCCCTTGGTTATGCCATTCGGGATCTGTGTCAAACTCGTGACTGTCAGAACCCCAACGCTTTTCAACCATGGGAGGTACTAACTCACACATCCAAGAAAAACTCTCCTACCATTATTTTCCGCATTTCCTTCCCTGTTTTAATTTGCAAAGATTTATATTCATTGCTCTTAATCCTATTCCTTTTATAAATAGACACTTTCAGTGTTTAAATAACCTGCATTTCTATCATAGTGCCTTACTCTTGAAGATAATAGAGTTGTATTTAACTTCACTTCCTACTCTGACCTACCAAAGTTGTATTCTTTTATTTCCCACGAAAATTATTTTGATGATGCTATTTTCCTTGAGTCATATAAATTATCACTTTTAAATGCACTTAAAAAAACACAAGAGTTAGAGCTGACATGTTTAATAATCCTTTTGTTTTTTACTAAATATGATGGATGAGGAAACTAAAGCTAGGAAGTTCCAGAAATACAACTGCAGTCTAGGTCTTCTGACTCCACCTTCCTTTCTTTTCACTGTCTTTAGTGGTTTATAATCACAACATTTATAGTTAAGACTCTCAATTAGGATGGAGGTAGAGTAAATAAATACATATACACATAAGACCATTAGAGTCTTTATGTGTATATGTATATACGTAAAGGACTTGGACTCCAGTATTCGTCAAAGGAATGTTGTTAGGTCAGTTATGATATTCCAGGTTTAAAGAAACCAGCAATTGTGTGTAAAAGAATTTTTTTCCTTTCTTCTCTTTGATTAGTTTGGGGAAACTTAAAATTTAACATGGTTTCATTTAGTGAAAAATTTCCATTGTGCTTTCTCAAATGCCCTTGAACAAGGCATTGAAAACTACATTGCTTCCTTTAATAATGATGTTTTACTTATTAGAAACAAATTTCTCAATAACGTGTATTCAGAGACAAACTTGTGTGTCCTGAGGCAGAATCATGTTACAAAATATGTATTTTTTAAATTTGTAAGAGAAAAGAAGGTAAAAGAAATAAGACAATTCTTCTGATCATACAAGTGGATATCTAGAACAAGTTTTTTCTACTTTTGTCATTTTTTTTTACTTTAAACACCCAAAAATACCATCTCTGAGGTCTGGTATGACAAGTTAACATTTGGGAGGATCATGCAATGGTGGGAGGGTATTTTAAATTGCTCACTTTTAAACTACTTTTTACCTTATAAATACAAAGCCAAAAATCTAATAAAGAGGTAAAATTGGAGATTAGGACCTTTTCTCAAGTGCAAACACTCTTAAAATATATATATATATAAAAAAAATATATATATATAGTTATGTCTGATGACTTTAAGACACCTATATGAAAGCATTCCCTTTGTAATATAAAACTTTAATGATGGTGGTAAAAGCCATAAATTATCTTTTTTAGATCATCATTCTTCACTATATTCCAAGGTCAGTACAAAGTTTTCTAATATATTCCAAGGCTTTTGGCCTGGTGCACTGCAGAAAAACAGTTTTAATTTTTAAAATTAGACTACAATAATAATACCACCACATAGAATTTTAGAAATAAGAGATTGAGAAAGAGACATAGAGAACAGTCATAGAGACAGATGTCATAAAGTGGAGCGGAGGGGCGGTTATATAAAGAACCTCATAAGGACAAAGAAATGCAAATAGCAAGAGTTATTCACCACCTGAAGATATGGGGAAAAATAGAGAAAGTATTTTAAATTAGGAATAAGTCTCAAACATGTTGATGATAAGATTTGAGAAGAAATCATCTAAGCAGAGTCTCCTAAAATGTTTTATTTAAACATGAGGAACCTGGAGTCATTCTTTTTGCCCCCAGAACCTGTTAATCTAGAAACAAACAGAAACAGATTGGAAAGGAAGAACAGGGGGATGACTTGCTCCTTTGATCATGACATGAGTGAGCCATATCAAGTCAGTGCAAGAGTCAGTAAGACAAACAATACAAAGAGTTATCCTTTTATAAAGAAATCTCTGTAGACTTAAATTTTAAAGATCAGCAACATTTAGGGTCCCTAGTCAATGATACATTCTTAAGGATTACTTTGTACCTTAGCAAAATTCACTAATATTTAAAGAGTACATTCTAAATGATTTTAGATTCAAATAATTTTAAAGGGGTTAAGTTTTCCCAGTGTTTGAGGATAGTACTTACTTTGACCCTGTATGTGGTGATATTTGTGAGCCATACTCAGGGACAGCACAGTCATGCTTGTTTTACTTCAGCAGATTTTTGATGTTTCTCAGATGTGTGTGGAGGATACCACTTCCTTGCTGTGACCAGTGATTTTGGTTTTCTTTTTGGTTTTCCTTTACTTCTGATGATATATAAGCTAGTAAGTGATGTGCGAGAGATGAAAGAATGTCTAATAGTTAAACTTCTATTCGTATACTTATTTAGCAAATGTTTGGTGTCTCAATGTTTCAGGCAATGTGTTGGGTGGTGAAGATATTATGGAGAACAGGACAGAATTCCTTCCCTAAAGGAATTATCTGTCCAGTGATGTGTACAATCAAACAATTAAGGAGCTGATTACAATGTAGGATGGTGCATTATAGTGTTTCATATAAACACAAGATGGCGGAGAAGTACTTAAGTGAGACAGCTAATCCAGTATTACCAATTCAGAGAATATTCTCCAAAAAACATGACCTCTGTGTGAATGCAAGGAAGAGTAGCAGTTAGCCAGGACAGAAATATTCCAGCAAAGTCCCAGAAAAGAGAGAAAAGAAAGCACAGCATCTTCAGGAAGCAGGAAATCATGCTATATGACTGGAGTCTTGCAAGAGAGCTATAATGAGTTAGTGAAGGACTAACTGAATGAGTTAGTGAAAGATATTATTAGAGCCTTGTCCATCAGGGCATCTCAAACTTTGATGTGCAGTTGACTTTCTTGGGAATCTTATTATCTGTTAATTCAGTAGTTCCACAGTGGGATTGAAAAGTCTACATTTTTAACAATGTCCCAGATGATGCTGATACTGCTAGTATAGGGACACCCCCTTAAATGGAAAGGCTGCAAATTATGTTCAAAGGTTTGAACTTGACAGAGGATAGGGCAGCTAATTAAAGACATTCTCAGGCAGGAGAGTGATATGATACTTTTTCCATCCAAGGTGAATTGATTAGAGGGACACAAGACTGAAGGGAGAAAGACCAATTTGGTAAATCAGACATAAGATAAGAATGCCTACAGGTAAGACAATAAGGATGAAAAGATGTATACATGGATATTGAAGAGGGAGGATGAAGAGCATTTGAAGGTCGATTGGATGTAAATGATGACAGAGAGCACGAAAAGTGCTGCAGATGATTCCAATATGGGACAACTGGTGTCATTTGTCAAGCTGGAAACGTAGAGAAAAGTGGAGGTCTGGTGGGAGTAAGAAATATTAAGCATTCCATTTTGGAGATGTTGAATTTGATGAATTTATGAAACATGTATTAGTAAGTGTAGCAAGGTAGTTGCATATTAGTCCAGAAGTCAAGAGAGACATGAGAGTAATTTTGGCATGGTAAGATAATAATAACTAATAATTTTTAAAACATATGGTTCTAGATACTGATATACACCACCTCTAATCTTTATAAAATATGGTAGGCCGACAGGACTCATCCTCTTTACACTGCATCTTGAAGAAGTGGTAAGAAGAAGTGTTTCTAGTGACCAAGACTTGTCAGAGTTTAGAGATGGAAGAAACCTTAACAGTAAAGATCTATCCCATGGTGATTCACATAGTTAGCAATGAAACTGCTGCCCCAGCCTTAGATCAGTGTATTTTCTCCTACACAATGGAAAACTTCACAAAAGAAGGCATAGTCTGGGCATCAGGACACAGATGCAAGGCTGTTTCCTCTGCTCTTCTCTAACTTAGCCATGAAGATACCTCTTTCCACAGTAACCTTACTTAGGGAGGTAGAGCAGACATCAGCACAGTTAGAACAATGGAAAGCAATATCAACCATATCACCTTAATTGGTGTGATTCCTGGCCATGTGTGCTTAAAAACTGGGCATTATCATACACAGGTGGATAAGATGATAATTGAAATGCAAATCCCATTCTCTAAATTTGTAGTGTCAACTAATGGTGAATTTCAGAGTCTCCATGAAAAATGTTTGTAAATGCTGTGAAAAAGCATTTAACAGCTTAATAACAGCTTAAGAATTACCTTACTTCATAGCAAATGTTTTATTATATTTAATGAGTAATGAAAATACTGTTGTATTTGCTTCCACCCTGTTTCCTGTAAGAAGAAGCATAAAATTGTGGAAGTTTATTTACATTATACAATTTTATGATTATTTACAGAACAAATATGTGTCAGAACTTTAGCCTATAAAGCCTAATTAAGCACAGGAAAAACAGAGGTAGAAATTATAGTTCAAACACTTGTGTGGAAGAGGATATGCTCCCTAAAGAACTGAGTCACTGGGGTTTACATGTATATATTGCTTAAGGAAAGAACAGAAGAAACAAACCAGTCAACAGATAGAAGTGAGAACATTGGAGGTAGGCTCTTGCATATTCTTTCATTTTTGTTCTCTCCTTTTTTTTTTCTTCCAGGCAATTGCTAGAATAAAATTTTGTTAGTGAATTCCACCATGTTAGATCTGATATCCTGCTTCTTTAAAGTAACACTAATTAATTGATATCCATTAAAAGAGCTAAGAAATCTGTGGAGACATAAAATAAATACACACATGTAGAGATTCTGCTAAAGAAACATTTCTCATTGACGTTATTATCATAGCTAATCTATTTACTTGAAAATGTAACTTATTTTTTATATTCTATTGACAAAAAATTGAAACACTCATAAAAAGTTAACTCAAAAGAAAGAGAATAGAATTGTCTTCAAATAGAATAATTTCTGCCTTATTCTACAGATTTTATACCCAACAAAAGCCACATAAAACCATAGATTTAGGTAATAAATGGGCCATTATGAAAGCATTCGGAGAGGATATTTATTTGGCTTACTTATATATTAAGTTAATTTTGAAGCCAGAACAGCAGCCTGTTTCCCTACCTTCTAGTCTATTGTTCTTCCACTACAGCACAACCTCAATATGGCTACCCCATTTGTAAGCAAAATATTTTTTGTCCTAACTCTGTAGTATACAAGTTCTCACTGTACAAACTGGGTAGCAAGACAGGCAACTTATCCTTATATTTCTTTCCTCTCAAGTTAAAAAATAAATCATTTTGTGAATTAACTTAGAAATATAATTTAAAGATCACTTTACTACATACTCAATCATTGAAACAAACTTAAGAACCATTGGAGATAATAAGATAGAAAGTAATTGTACCTGTCAAAATTTCATTGATGAGAGATGGAACCACAGTTAGATCCCAGGTGTCTATACCAGGGGACCTATTCTAAAATTCTGTAGGATAAATGCAGATACTTAGAAACAACCATTCATAGAAATTAACTTGCTTTTCCAAATTTATATGGCAAAAGTTAGGCAGAAATGAGGCTAGAACCCAAGTGAAATTCATTCTCAATTTGTTGCCAGATAGTTAAGAATTCTCGAACCAGTGATCTATAATCTTTTTTCTCTCATTTTTAAGTGATATACTTTATAAGGCAGTGTTATCATTAGAATAACGAACACACTTGCAACATTTATTTTAAGAGCTTATTTCTGTTTTTACTTTTTATAGTTACTTGGTGTGCTAAAAAATGTGACATTCACTGATGGAGGGAATTCATTTCATTTTGATGCTCATGGGGATTTAAATACTGGATATGATGTTGTGCTCTGGAAGGAGATCAATGGACACATGACTGTCACCAAGATGGCAGAATATGACCTACAGAATGATGTCTTCATCATCCCAGATCAGGAAACAAAAAATGAGTTCAGGAATCTTAAGGTAATCTTGTTGTAGGCTGCTTTGTAGCACTCAAAGCAATTGGTACCTCAACTGCAAAAGTCCTTGCCCCACCAAGACCTCCAGTGACCTTCTTGCCTGTTTACTGTCCCCACCTTTCCTCCTCAAATTCCATGGTCAACTATTTAACTCCCCCTTGTACACCCTCAATTCCCCTGCCCCTCTCTTCATCATACTCATCTGGCCAAGCACAATCCCTGTTAATCAAGTTTCTGCCTAATCAATGTAGCTCCTATTTAGCTGAAGTTGGCAAGGAAAGGAAAGGAAAGGAAAGGGAAGGGAAGGGAAGGGAAGGGAAGGGAAGGAAGAAGGGAAGGAAGGAAGGAAGGAAGGAAGGAAGGAAGGAAGGGAGGGAAGGAGGGAGGGAGGGAGGGAGGGAGGGAAGGAGGGAGGAAGAGAGGGAGGAAGAGAGGGAGAAGGAAAGAAAGAAAAAGAAAGAAGAAAGAAAGAAAGAGAGAGAGAGAAAGAAAGAAAGAGAAAGAAAGAAAGAAAGAGAGAAAGAAAGAAGAAAAGAGAAGAGAAAGGAAAGGAAAAGAAAGGAAAAGAAAGGAAAAGAAAAGAGAGAACAGAAAAGAGAAGAATAGAAGAGAGCTAGGGAGGGAGGGAGGTCGCTGACTAGTCTCATTTTAAATTCATGATCTCTAGCTTCCAGTGGGCTCTTAACGCTGCAGGGCAATCAGATTATTGCCCTAGTTCATGCACTCACTCACCTTCCTAGATGGCTATTTTATGCCTTCTCTTCTATCCTCTGAGATCAGTACATCTTTCCCGTTCTCACTTCAGTTAACTCTATTTTCTGTTCTAACAAAACTGAAACATCAGAAGAGAATTCCAGTGGCCCCTGCCACCACATCAGGGGTACAGAAGGCCAGTACCCCTGCCTTCCATCTGGCACTATAGATGGACTGTCTGTGCTTCTATCCAAGGTCAGCTCCTCCACTTCACCTTTGGGTTCCAACCTCTTTCACTTATTCAAAGACATTACGTTAATTTTATACTGTCTCTCCTTTATTCTCAATCATTCCTTCTTCTACATTATCCACTTAATGAAATAAATAGGTCATTATTTCTCTCATCTCAACAAACAAAGAACCTCTGTTGTTCCCTCAAGTTTTTCTTTGTATACTCTATTTCTCTTCAGTAAAACTCCCTGAAACAGTTGAATGCATTTAATGGCCCCAATTTCTCTCCTCCCATACTCTTTTGAATCCTCTTCAATCTATCGAAATTGTTTCTGTCTAGCTCACCAAAGTTAATAAAGCCGAATATTATCATATATTCACTTACCAGCTAATTATTCTCCCCCCAATGACATCTTTTCCTTGTTTGCTTCCATCACACTACATTCCCTTGATTTTCTTCCCGTGTATCTGGCCACTAATTCTCTGTCTCCTTTGCTAGTTCCTCATCATTCACACTACCTCTAATCATTCAGGTGCCCAGGACTCAGAACTGCTCCTCTTTTTGTCTACCCCTTTCCTTAGTGATCTCATCCAGGTTTGGGGCTTTAAATGATATTATACGGGAGACTGATGACTACAAGATTTTTATCTTCTGACTTCTAACCCAAATAAATAATCAACTGCCTAATTGACATCTCTACCTGGATGTGTAGCAGTCAAAACAGAGCTGATATTCTCTCCCAACCTACTCGCCTCTCAATAAACAGCAACCCCCTTCCCCTAGTTGCTCATGAGAAAACCTGCTGGGATTCTTGTCACCTCTCTTTCAGTGACACTCCATAACCAATGAGTTTTACTTTCAAAATGTGTCCAGAACCTGACCACTTTTTACTACCTACTCCAGTGCTGTTGCAATCATTTCTCACCCAGATTATTGCAGAAAGTTTTCTGCCTCCTCTCTTAACCCTTCGGTCTATTTCCTTTTTTTTTTTTTTCCCGAGATGGACTCTTGCTCTGTCTTCCAGGCTGGTATGCAATGGCGCAATCTCAGCTCATTGCAACTTCTGCCTCCCAGGTTCAAGCAATTCTCTGGCCTCAGCCTCCTGAGTACCTGGGATTACAGGCGTGCACCACCATGCCCGGCTAATTTTTGTATTTTTAACAGAGATGGGGTTTAACCATGTTGGCCAGGCTAGTCTTGAACTCCTGACCTCGTGATCTGCCTGCCTTGGCCTCCCAAAGTGCTGGAATTACAGGCGTAAGCCACTGCGCCGGCCCCCTTCAGTCTGTTTTCAAAACAGAGATACAAGTGGTCCTGTAAAACATAGTGCTCTGCTCAGAATCTTTTGATGGCATCCTATTGCTCTGAGGGTAAAAGCCAGTGTCTTTAAAACTTCTACACAATCTACCTCCAGTACCACCCTGACCTTATCTCCCACCCTCCCCTTACTGTACAGTGTTCCTGCAATCCCCACAGGCTTTTTGGTCTTCTATGCGTGTCTTCCCTTCTCATAGCCCAAGCACTTTGCCCTTGCTATTTCCTTTGCCTATAATAATTTTCTCTGATGTTCATGTGGTTAGTTTTCTTATTTCTTTCTGTCTTTTCTAAAATGTCACCACCTCAGTGAGGCCTTCTCTGGACACCTTATTTAAAAATTGCAACATCAACCTAGTAGTTCTTATTCACTGTCCTATCCTTATTTTTCTCCTTAGCACTTATAACTTTCTGTCATTCTGTACATTTTGCTTATTTTAACTCTGTCACTCTTGTCAACTAGAACTTAAGTTCTATGAGCTAAATATTTATGTCTCATTCCCCACTGTGGCTTCAACAATTAGAACAGTGCCTAACATAGATAGGCACTCAACCAATATTTGGTGAATGAAAGAATGAACATAGTAATGCTGTAAACCATTTTCCTTAATCAGATTTCCCCTGGCTGTAAAAGTTTTAGTAAAGCAAGACACTTTTTCCTTGAAAGACATAAATGTAGCCATTCTTCTGTGTTCTCAAACTTTCGCTGTCATCATCTTCATTTTTCTTACCATTATCCTCACAACTACATTACGAACCCAGCACTCTGCTAAACACCGTAACTCACACTGAAACTTTTAAAACATGCTCTGATTCATTTTCTTTTTGAATACAGAGATGGCTATTATTTTTGCAAGAAACACTGTTAATTGCTATCAATATTTATCTCCAGACTCTGTAGGGAATTCACTTAATGAAGAGAAGGTGATAGAATGACAGGTAATTATGTGAGGCTCTTAGTGACTAAATGGAAGGGGCTGACCACTATGAACAGAGAGACAAGTCTTCCCTTCTGATGGAGACACCTATAATTATTTCAAGGATACACTAAAAACCAACAGTATCTGAAATCATTTAGGTCAGATTTCTGGATTTGTCAATTTGCAGGCTAGTTGGGGTATTGACATTTCTGGTAAGTCACAAGAACTCATAGTACAAAACATCAGATAATCCTAAATCAATTGAAGCCTAAAGTAATCAGTACAAGATTTTAGACTGTCTTTGCTCTTGATGCGGAGGGAGAGAAGGGACCCTAACAAGGTCCGGCTTTATCTCGTAGTTAAATCCTTTTGTGTCCTCTGAGCACCCTCCAGGAGAGTGGATACTTTAAAAGTTTACCCTGGGGAATTCTCAAGGCATATATACTACCTGGTGAAAACCCAGGTCAGCAATAAGTGGAGAGAAGAAGAAAACCAGTGCTTGCAGACCCAGGGCCTACTGAATCTTTTCTTTTCTATCTCAGACAGATCAATTGTATCTTCCAGAGAAAGACTGGTTAGCTTAGTACTTCAATTGTGTTCCAGAGTAGGAAATAATGGATAACAGAATCTTGAGAAAGACTCATTTAACCATTCTGCCCTGCTCCGACGGTAAAAGTGACAAGACAAAGCAAATTTCTCTCACAAGATATGCCATGAAAAAGGGACTATGAATAGAGAATAATAACATAGCTGAAATGCAAAGAATTACTAGCTAGGGTTCCATAAAAGTAGAACACTGCATGTAATTCAAATTGTGACATGCAAATTATAACTTGAATTCTCAAGATTATTTAAATATTATATATTTAGGGCTGTCTTTTAAATCTAATATTCTAATATTAGAGTATTAAGTTTTAAATTTTATTTTAAACTCATTTTTTTTTTTTTAGTTTTTAGAGTTAGATAGGACATGATCCTTGCCAGCATGATAAGAACTTTCTTTTAAAGAATACAAAAATCTAGCCATGTGCTATTTTCTTATCTAGTGGAACCCCTCATTCAACATGGGATTGAAACTTCCCAACCATCATTATTTTCTTTAGTTCTAGCATTACACATTTCTCCCTCTACTAGGGACTTTCTGAAAGGGCTAATTTCCATAATTTGCTTACAGAAGTTTTTAATGCGACAAAAACTGTGTTCTTCTTAAAGCAGCTTCTCCATCTTAAAAGCTTGTTTACATTTCCCAAGATGGAAAAAGAGTCTATAATCCTATGAAAACAGACCAAAATAGTATTTAGTAAATATATCTTAAATTAAGCTGAGGATAATTGATTAGGATAATTCTTTTTACAAATTTACTTGTGATTTTTTTTTTCACCTTTAATATAGCAAATTCAATCTAAATGCTCCAAGGAATGCAGTCCTGGGCAAATGAAGAAAACTACAAGAAGTCAACACATCTGTTGCTATGAATGTGAGAACTGTCCTGAAAATCACTACAGTAATCAGACAGGTAATTACAGTCACTCCACATGGATAGTGATACATGTGAATCATTCCTCTTAGGTTTTTTTTTTTATTTGCATGAATTTGATTTTGGTTTGTTTTTTCATTTGAAAAAATTTAAAAAGCTTCCCATGCTCCTGTGAAATTAAATTCCAGTGAAGTTTCATTTTATCTTGGAATTTGCTCTATTGTGTCAACAGGTGCACAGCCAATAAACAATAGAGATGTAAAAGTTACTTTACTTCCAAGGGAAAATGTCATCCCTTCACTCATATTTTCTAAAGTATGTAACTCTTAAAGTGATGCAACTTCTCCGTCAATTTTGTCCATGTATCCCTATACAGATGTGCTTGGCTTGTAACTGAGGTACGAAAGAATACAAATAAGTAAACGCTGAATTAACTAAACATAATAGAAACCCAGAGGCACCTGAAGTTGAGAAACAGGTGTGCACATCCTGACGATCTCATTATGTCTACCAAGAACAAAAGTTAAACCTGAAAGCAACTTCTTCTGTGAGACAAGGGACCAACTATTGACAGGGATGAGATGCTGGTAACTGACTGTTTGCCAACCCTATCTTTAAAAATTTCACAAGATGAAAGCAAAATACACAAATTAAAGTACGAGAGTGAGGTCAGCAGCCTTAGGAGCCTAAAAAGAAACTATGAGCACGTTTCCCTGGAGTTCAGCCTAATTTAAAAGCATCAGATTTCCTTGTTTATTAGAGCATTCCCATTCATCTTGTAGAAAAGCTGAGAACTCCAGAACTGGAATAGTCCCCAGATACCTATTCTTTTTGCTTATTGGCTTCAAGGAGAAAAGTACACCAATGAAAATATTCCAAGTTTCATGTTCTGTTATTGTGTCACAAAAAAAAATGTCATTTATTCCAACCTGAGAGTATCAGAACTTTATATGTATCTGCATTTTATTATCTCACATTTAAAATTTTCCCATTCCTTGGTATGTTTAATAATGTTTATATTAGTGGAGGCATTAGTGTAGCTTATGGTGGTAAATGATGGGGGGAAGGTAAATAAAGGGAATGCTAAGGATAGGGTGCCGGAGGACTCTTTTCCCGGCCTGAGGAAAAATTAGGAGGTAATTAGGGAGGGTGAGTGTTTTCATGTGCAATTCCATGGTAACTAGCAACTATCTTCCAAGTGACAGAAATAAAAACACCAAGGAGTATGTAACATTTATTTTCCATAAAGATGTACGGGACTCTTTAAAGGCTGTATCTGGGTTTTCTTTTGGTAACCAGGGTAAGTCGCTTCCAAGAACAAATGTAGAAATGTAGAAGACTGAAGACAACTTGGAGGATAAGCTAGGAGTTAGGAAAGCCTAAACGGATACCATCTGCTGTTCCTTTCTATCTCTAACACACAGCTCTCATACCTAGATGAGGCCAGTAAATGTCCACTGGACGAATGAAATGACAGACACTAGCAACTGTGGTTACGGGGCAAACAGAAAAGAACAGGTATTTTCAGGGGAATAGAGTTCAGAAAGAGGAGGAGGCTGGAAGGGTCATGAAGTTTATAAACAGAAATACAACCTTACTTTGAGGTTAATAAAGAAGAGAACACAAAATTTTAAAGAGTTGTACAGACACTGTGGGGTGTAATCTGATGAATGCCCTGACAGAGGCCCTTTGGTTGCAGCTGGGACTCACCAACTTTGGGTGGCTGGAATGGGGAGCAAATGTAATATCATTTCTAGAGATACAACTCTAACATCAACTGTTTGTGCTGCCCTGCAGCCAGAATCAGCATAAATACTTTTCAAAGTTATCACTTCCAGTGCGAGAGGCTCCGATTTACCCACTACTTGGAAAAAAAAATAAACTTTAATTCTTCAATTGCCATTGACTGCAATTTTGCATTATCTCACTTTTAGAAAGAGACTTCAAGCTTTTAGAGTAACCTAGCCATAGTGCCTCTTCTTTTAAAAGAATTGCACCCTTATTCATGAGAGCAGCTCCCATACATTGAGGGTCTTCTATGTGTAATGGTCTGTGTGAAGCATTTTACATTTATTATCTCATTGAGTACGGCATCCCAATAAGGCAGAGTCTTTTCATTTTATTATTTTTTGAGATATGGGAGATTCCGAAACAGGCTCAGAAAGTTCCGTTAGTTTGTTCAAGTTTACAGGAATTACAAGTGGAAGAGATAAGAAAAGCTATGTCTGATTCCAAAGCCTTATTCTTAAGAGTGCTGGAGCCATCATCTATAATAGCAAATGCATAAGAAGCTAGCATGTATTCTGAGTATATTCATCTCCTAAACATTCACAATCCAGCTGGCTTTTTTTCTCTCTCTCTTTTCTCTTTCTTTTCCTTTCTCCTAACTTTTACCTTTTCTCTCTCACTTTCTCTAAGTTTGAGCATGCTTTATTTTAATAAGTAACCAACATGACAATCATCTGTATCTGTTCTCTAGTCAGAACTATTACAGAAGGCGAATCTCATTTGTAGTATTGTGGACTATCACCTAGTTTAAATGTTGACAATGTAACTGTCTCCTCTGTCTTCTGTCTTTTAGATATGCCTCACTGCCTTTTATGCAACAATGAAACTCACTGGGCCCCTGTTAGGAGCACTGTGTGCTTTGAAAAGGAAGTGGAATATCTCAGCTGGAATGACTCCTTGGCCATCCTGCTCTTGATCCTCTCCCTACTGGGAATCATATTTGTTCTGGTTGTTGGCATAATATTTACAAGAAACCTGAACACACCGGTTGTGAAATCAGCCGGGGGATTAAGAATTTGCTATGTGATCCTTCTCTGTCATTTCCTCAATTTTGCCAGCACGAGCTTTTTCATTGGAGAACCACAAGACTTCACATGTAAAACCAGGCAGACACTGTTTGGAGTGAGCTTTACTCTCTGCATCTCCTGCATTTTGACGAAGTCCCTGAAAATTTTGCTAGCCTTCAGCTTTGATCCCAAATTACAGAAATTTCTGAAGTGCCTGTATAAACCAATCCTTATTATCTTCACTTGCACGAGTATCCAGGTTGTCATTTGCACACTCTGGCTAATCTTTGCAGCACCTACTGTAGAGGTGAATGTCTCCTTGCCCAGAGTCATCATACTGGAGTGTGAGGAGGGATCCATACTTGCATTTGGCACCATGCTGGGCTACATTGCCATCCTGGCCTTCATTTGCTTCATATTTGCTTTCAAAGGCAGGAAATTACCTGAGAATTACAATGAAGCCAAATTCATAACATTTGGCATGCTCATTTACTTCATAGCTTGGATCACATTCATCCCTATCTATGCTACCACATTTGGCAAATATGTACCAGCTGTGGAGATTATTGTCATACTAATATCTAACTATGGAATCCTGTGTTGCACGTTCTTCCCCAAATGCTATGTTATTATTTGTAAGCAAGATATTAACACCAAGTCTGCCTTTCTCAAGATGATCTACAGTTATTCTTCCCATAGCGTGAGCAGCATTGCCATGAGTCATGCTTCACTGGACTCCATGAACAGCAATGTCACAATGACCAATCTCAGCTCTAGTGGCAAGTCTGCAACCTGGCAGAAAAGCAAAGATCTTCAGGCACAAGCATTTGCACACACATGCAGAGAAAATGCCACAAGTGTATCTAAAACTTTGCCTCGAAAAAGAATTTCAAGTATATGAATAAGCCTTAGGAGATGCCACATTCCAGAATAAAATGTTTCCAGGGTCTTTGCATCTAAGATATGCATTTACTTTCCCAGCAAATATGTCATATATATTTCCTTGCCACCATCTTTACCAAGTTTTAGTTGAACAGTCACTCTGTTCAATCGCCTATTGAATTGAGCCTTCAACCTGAAACTCCCTTCATTTCCTACCTCTTTCATTGGTCTCCATCTTTACCTGCTTCCTCTTAGGCACATCGTTAAAGACTTCTCTTCTATTCAAAGTTGTCCCATAATGTGTCATCCTTACTCCATTCCCAACCACTTCTTTTCAAATCTCTTTGGATTCTCCTCTGTTGAACATTTTTACTTTTCTTCCACTGTTCAGTGTAGTTGAACAAGATTTGAGCAATTACTATGAACCAGGTGATATGCTAAATAACAAGGTACAAAAGCAGCAAGGTGTCATTGCTGATCTCAAGGAGCTCAAAATCCAAGGTGAATCAGGCACATGTCAACATCTTCAATCAGTGTGAGGAAGTCTATGATTATAATGTATATAGAGTGTTACAGCGGTATAGAGAAATGGCACTCAACCACACTGGGAGAGGATGGGAGGGCTTAAAAGAAGACTTTAAATAAACAGTATGATGGTTAGGTGAAACCCTGAAAGATGAGTAGGAGTTAGCTAATTAGAGAAAGCACAGAAAGGTATTCTAGAAAAAGAAGGAAAATGGGAGCAACAACAGAAAGTGTGACAAGAAGGTGCATTCAGGGAACTACCATCGTTTGGGTATTACTGGAGAGGAGCACTCTTTGGTATGTAGAGGTTAGGTCATGAGAGAATTCCACCCATTGGAGTTTCTTGCTAAGGAGCATGAGTCTTCGTCCTGTGGGCAGTGGGTAGCCATTAAAGTGTCTGGCACATAAGGGACAAGTAGCTCAAACTCCCCAGAATGATCACTCTGATACAAGGTGGAGGATGGAGTCTAGTTAAGAGAGGATTAGGATCTGTACCAGGGAATAGAAAGGGGGATATGTATGTGAATTCAAGCTATATTATAGAAGGTGGTAATTTATTTGAAGTGGTTGGTGAAGAATGAGTTATAGGCTTCTAGTCTGGTTAATTGAAAGGTGGTATGTAATATAGGAAGAAGAAGTAACTTAGAGTAGAAGATGGAATGTTGAATTTGAGATGCCTGGAAGAATTTTTAGATGTATCAAATATTCACATAAACAAAAGACCATGAGCTCAGGGGATGGTGGTCAGGGCTGGTGATAAGGATTTGGATGCCATGTTCACATTGCTCCCATCTGTATAAACCACAAATATACAAAATAACACTGTGCCCAATCTTTACTTTTTCTTTAGCTGTCACCCTCTTTCTTCCTCCATCTCACAATAGACTGTTAAGAGGAAGATTGTCATTATTGACTTGTGACCTATTAGTTCTCAGTTCATTTAAAATCTGGCTTCTAGTTCACCTCTGATGAAATAGTTCATGGAAAGTTTACCTGTTACTCTTTATCTCTCAAACTTGATGATTATTTTTAAGTGTTTATCTCCCTTGAATCTTAATTATATTTCTGATCTAACTCTTCCTCATTGAAATTCCCCTTCTTGGTTCCCTCTGTAATTTATAAAGGCTTCTATGAGTCAAACTCTTAAGTCTGATGCAAAGGCTCTTCTGGTTCTACTCTGATACCCGGGCCATTGCATTTTAGTCTCCTTGGCAGATTTGTCTTCCTCCACTTGACTATTAAATGTATTTCCCAGAGTTTCATCCTCAACCTACATCTGTTTTCCTATAACACACTCTCTTGCTACAAAATTACCCAGCTCTCTGTCTTAACTTTGACCCAAATGACTCCCCAAACCATATCTCTGGCCCAGGTCACTCTCCAACCAACCTGGTTGCTTGTCCCCCCTCATACTTCAAAGTCAATATTCATAAAATTGAACTCATATTTTCCTTCTCCTTACTCCTCCTCCTCCTGTTTTTCATTTCTCAGTATGTAATAGTACCACCTTTGGGTTAGTGGGCCCCTGGGATGCATCCTTGACTCTACTGCCTGCTTCACAGTCCTATACCTTTAATTCATCACCTGTATTTATTTTCTAACACCTACGTTTTTCAAAACCTTACCATAATCTGTATCCCTGTCATCACTTCCTTAATCCAGGTCTTCATCACCTCTTTTATAGATTGTTGCAATAGCCTTCTCATTTGACTCTGACCTCAAATGTTTTACTCTAAATATAGAGGAGGTATTGCTAAACCTTCTATTCACTTCCACTAGATCTCTTCTATAGTAAAAGCCTCTTCATGTTACTAAATTATTTAAAAATCTATAATAAGTCAAAAGTCCTTATCTTGATACCGAGGCTCTTCAAGTCCAGCACCAACTTCTACTCCTTCCTGCTTAGTGAAGCATGCTTCAGAATTGGCAAACTGCTGGTGATTGTTGGTGATTGTTCATCCTCATACCATGCTGTTTCAGGTCTTGGAGCCTGGGCCCTTCCCTCTGCCTTGATATCCTCTCCACTTCTTGTCTTTCTGAAACACTCTAGCTAAATCCACTAGACACAATTCAAGTATCTCCTCTTCTATGAAGCCTTTTTTTCTGCTCCTGTTATAGCACATATTACATTTTATTGCATTTACTTGCTTTTATCTTAATTTAACACTTACTGAGTTCCAATGCATACCAGACATAATTCTATGCACAGGGATTATTAAAAAGTTAAAAAAAGAAAAAAAGGCAAAGTCTCTGCTCTCAAAGAGTTTACATTCCAGTGTTTTCACCATTTTGCAGTGAAGAGTCAATTCTTTAGTAATAATTCTCTCAACTGCCCTTTCCTCTCTAGGACTACTACTGTCACCACAACTAATATCACCCCAATTCAGGCTCTTACAACTTCACATTTTTGCTGTTGAAATATCCCAAACTAGTTACCTACCTTAGGATTTGCAGTCTGATACGTAGAATACATCATTACAGAATCAATCTTTCTCAAATTCATTCCAATACTATCAAGCTCCTCTTCAGAAAAATTTAATAACTTCCCATTGTCCTTAGAATTAAGTTGAATTTTCCTGCCTTGCTAAGCAAGACTTTCTGCAGCCTTGCTTCAACACAAATTGAATGTTTTTTTTAAAAAAAGATACTAATTTTAGTTTTCTGCTTATCCTACATTTATTCATATACAATATAGTGATAATGTCCCATAAAAATTGTTATGGAGAGAAAATATTCTGATGTACATGAAAATGTTAAGAAATTATTATTCTGTTTGTGATTTCATTGACTTACTGGTCTGTTGATATGAAAACAATTTCTCCTATTGACATGAGAGCAAAGTTGTAGGAGAGTTTTCATTTTTTTTTTTTTTTTTTTTTTTTTGAGACGGAGTCTCGCTCTGACACCCAGGCTGGAGTGCAGTGGCCGGATCTCAGCTTACTGCAAGCTCCACCTCCCGGGTTTACGCCATTCTCCTGCCTCAGCCTCCCGAGTAGCTGGGACTACAGGCGTCCGCCACCTCGCCCGGCTAAGTTTTTTCTTATTTTTAAGTAGAGACGGGGTTTCACCGTGTCAGCCAGGATGGTCTCGATCTCCTGACCTCGTGATCCGCCCGTCTCAGCCTCCCAAAGTGCTGGGATTACAGGCTTGAGCCACCGCGCCCGGCCTAAGTTTTCATATTCTTAAGTGTTGTCTCCCAAAACAAAAATCGCAGCACTGTTGTGCCAATAGAACAATAAAAGAAATATTGTTTCATAAGAGTTGTGAGTTTTACTGCAATTACATAGCTTTCAACAATTATTCTGGAGGAAAAATATCCTACTTAACCTAAGAAATTAAGTTTTAAATTCCTTGAAGCCAAAACTACATCCTTATCATCATTTGAAAAACACAAGTAAGAGAATGACTATTTTTACTTTATCTTTTTTTTTTTTTCTCTGAGACAAAGTCTTGCTCTTGTTGCCCAGGCTGGAGTGCAATGGCACAATCTCAGCTCACTGCAACCTCTGCCTCCCAAGTTCAAGCGATTCTCCTGCCTCAGCCTCCCAAGTAGCTGGGATTACAGGTGCCTGCCACCATGGCTGGCTAATTTTTTGTGTATTTAGTAGAGACAGGGTTTCACCATGTTGGCCAGGCTGGTCTCAAACTCCCGACCTGAGATGATCCGCCCACCTTGGCCTCCCAAGGTGCTGGGATTACAAGCATGAGCCACCGTGCCCAGCCTTTCTTTTAACTTTTGAGGCCCTTAAATTCAATTGGGTGTAAATTGAATAATTTCTAACTCTTTTTGGAATAAAGGGTTTCCTCCCCTTTTATTATAAAGGCTATACTTAAATATTATTTTTAAAATAAGAAAAACAAAAGTGAAAAAAGTACCTATCCATTCCAACTAATCAGCAATCCTTCACTATGTAAGTATTCAACTCTTTAAAATTTGTCTTGATAAGTCCAAATTGTTATTTAGATAGAAACTTTTCCATAGTCAAGACAAACTAATCTGGGGCAGGGCAGGGGTAAGGTATTTAGAATGCAGTGTCAGATTGACTCATATAGTTATCCCCTACCCTGCCCACAGGGACACACATAGTAAAACACTTTATTGCTAAAATGGAGAATGAGGGAATAACACACATTGCACCATAGCTTTTATTGGCAGGATGAAATGAGAAGCAGGTCAACTCGGATTGTGATGATCTCAAAAGCAAGATCCACCTATAATTGTTATGATGTGTCTGGATTTTGTACAAGGCCACACCAAAACTGGTACTCAATAAATATCGAATGAGTAACTTTTAACATTCTCATGAATATTCTTGAAATCTTGTTCAAAACAGTAACTCAGTGACTTTTCCCGACCTTCCCTCTGATATTAGAATCTCCACATCTCTTAAACTGTCTTTAATCTAAACCCTCAAATAGGCCCCTACTGCCATTATCAGCAAAATAAGACTTACGGAAAGTTAGAGTGGAAAACAATGCGTAATCCTCAAAACTTGGGTGAAGGGAAGATGGAGAATAAGCTTGTAGACAACTAAACACAGGAGTGAAAAGTGGAACTTCCTTTGTGACATAAAAAGGAAAGGAGTATCTCAACGCCATACTTTTTTTCACCTTCTTGCCAGTCGCTGTGCAAAAGTAGAGCGGCCATCTTGGACCATGAGATGAAATCTGCAAGGTGAAAAGGACAGAGCAACAAGATGAAAGAGGACTTGATCCCCAACACTGTGGAGCTGCTCTTGCAGCACTGCACCCCTTACGCTTAGAGCATATGGAACAAGAACAGCCTGATAAATTCATGTGTGGGCTTTCTGTCTATTTTAATGAGTGACCAAGCACAAAAACAATATGAAGAATGGGAGAATCAACATAGTATGTAGATGCACTCACATTCAAGAGTCTCTTGTAGGAAAATCTCAAGTGATTGAAATTTCTTACATTTATAACTTCTCTTAATTTTTCTAGTAACCTGGAAGTACATTTGCAGACAAAATTAGATTACCAGAAAATGAAATTTTCAGACCTAAAAACAAATGAATCAAATAAATTCACAGTTTTACATATAGCCAGTTTCACATCTGTAAATATGTGGACTTGATCTGTGTTTTAGCTTGTTAGACATAGAAGGGCATGACTAAAAGTATAGAATCTTAAATAAAGTATAATATCCAGTCTGTAAATATTTTTAACTTTATTTTTAACTGACAAATAGAACTTATATATATTTATGGGGTACAATGTGATGTTTTGATGTATGTTTACAATGTGGAACGTTTAAGTCAGACTAATTAACAAACACACATACTTATCATTATTGTGGCGAAAACCTTCAAAATCTATGCTTCAAGTAATTTCAAAATATACGATGTATTATTATTTATTTTAGTCACCATTCTGTGCAATAAATTATTAAAGCTTAATTTCCTGTTAATGGAAACTTTCTACCCTTTGATCAGTATCTCCTCTTCCCCATTTACCCTTCCCCTCCCTAGCCTCTGAGAACCACCATTCTACTGTCTACTTCTGTAAGGTCGCCTTTTTTAGATACCACATGTAAATGAGATCATGCAGTATTCCTGTGCCTGTTTATTTCACTTAGCATAATGTCCTCCAGGTTCATCCATGTTGTCACAAACAACATGGTTTCCCCATTTGTAAGGCTGAATAGTATTCCTCTGTTCCCCAATTAACCAGTGAGTCTGTGGTAGTATATTTCTCATCTAAAGGGCTATCCATTGTAAATACTCTGACAGAAAACATGAGAGCAAAATTCTGGGAGTTGCCAGTGTAAAACCAATGAAATTAGAAGAATTGCTATGTCCTTTCATAAGACTAAATAGAAATGAGAGCAGCTAGTAAGACCCCTATGATGGTAAACAGAAAAGAAAAAGTGAAGTGTTGACAGGGTTAATTTGTTACATTTGCAGCCACTTATTTCCAAAATAGATTGAAATTAATTTTACAATAAGAAAACATATTTATTAAGGTTCTTAAAGATGTTTACAATTAAACATATAACAGAACAAGGCCAATAATAATCACTGAAATCTAGGCTGACTATAGTGGTTTCTCTTGTACAAAATTTGGCAGTGGACATCACAGCAGACAATAGAAGTGGACACCACAGCCCTCAACAGGTACAGCCTGCAATGATATTGGAAATTTTATAGTCTAGGAGGCTTGTTTTCTGTTCTCAGCTCCTTCCATATCTGCTGTGTAATTCTGTAAGTTCCCCACCCTCTTCACAATTCTTTTAGGAATCTTCCCACTCCATGTGCGACTGGAAACGCTGTAAAACCAGAATGATGGAAAAGTGGCTCAGACTGAGCCATAAGAGTTGTTATGGGTCCTTTCTGGCCTCGGAGGGAAACAGAAAAACTCCTTCTGATTTAGGTTTGTGAATGATAGGATTTCTGACAATCGTCTTTCCTGCAAATGTAGGAAACCTGTTTGAGGCAGGAGATAATGAGGTAAAATGAACAGTGAAGCCGAGTAAAGTGATAGAGAGAAAGAGAGAGAATTACATGACCACGTTGATTTAGCTGTGCCTAAAGCTGAACTATCCTTAGACCTTTTAGCTATGAGAGCCAATACATATTCCCTTTTATATTCAGCTTATTTTACTTGGATTTCTATCATTTGAAACTAAAGCATCATAACTAAAACCCTTGTGCTTCACATCAATGGTTAACCTTTTCCCACCTGTAAAATGAAAAGCATGAACCAAATTATCTCAGATTTCCTTCTGAGTCTAAAATTTTACAGCTCTAAATTAATTGTGCATTGCTCTAGGACAGGGCTATTATCTTACCTGTTTTGATAGCCAGAATTTCTGGCAGTTAGTAGGGTCTGAATAACTATCTCTTGTATTAAATTTTTTAAATGGTCTGTCCACTCTTTAAACCTAGCCTTTTGTAAAGCAGTTACCTCTGTTATTTTTGCTTTCTTATGTCCCCTCTGTATCTCTAATAAAATACAGCGTCAAGCACATGTTCACAGGTTTCCCTTCCAGGGAAAGAGAGCTAAATAATGTTGGTGAGGCTGCACGCGGTGGCTCACGTCCATAACCCCAGCACTTTGGGAGGCCAAGGTGGGTGATCGCTTGAGCTCAGAAGTTCAAGACCAGCCTGGGCAACATAAGGAAACCCTGCCTCTTCAAAAAAAAAAAAAAAAATAGCCTGACGTGGTTGTGCACACCTGTCATCCCAGCTACTCAGGAGGCTGAGGTGAGAGGATCACCTGAGCCCAGGAGGTCGAGGCTGACATGAGCCGTGATGGTGCCACTGTGCCCCAGCCTGGGTGACAAAGTGAGACCCTGTCTCAAAATAGTAATAATAATAACAACAATAATAATAATGTTGGTAAAATGATAAGAAATACACATTGTACTATTGATCTGATACCATGGTAAATATAATAATTCAAAAGAGTTATTTATTATTGACAGAATCCAAGCTAGAGAGAAAAATTATTAATCATTCCATTTATAATTAACTTAAGATTTGATATTTCTTGCTCTGTGGAAAACAGGGAAAAAGTAAAAGGATTTATTGAATCAGTAGCTAAAAGAAGCATAAGCCAAGTTTTAGAAATTTAGTTCATACTTCTGCTAAAGTTTATGTTCAGACCTCCTTTACTTTCGGGTACCCTTTACATATAC